GAAGAGGTATACGGAGGCCGAGGAAGTGCTGCTCCACGTCATGAAGATCGCCGAGAAGAACGATCTGATCCGCACGGATGTCGAAGGTATGCATGCATTGCGGCCATTGTCACTGTGTTTGATCCCACGTGTTGAGGGTTTTTTGTGTTTGTTTTTTTGGTGTTGTCTTTGTCGGTGTTTTTGATGGCTAACTAGACTGGCCATCGAGAGTGTGGTGATAGTGGTGTGTCGTATGATGAGTGGTGGTTATGGTGTACAAGAAGTTTTTTGATTGATATGAGAGTTGTTTTTCGAGGTTTAAAGGCTTTTTGAGTTGAATTCTCGTGTCATGTCTTTGTTGTATCACTCCATTTGATCCAATGATTACTATTTGATGCATAGGTTTAACTGATTTGAGTTATTATTTCAGTATAAGTTAACTACAGTGCAGTACTTAACACTCGCTATAGTGTCCTATTTTTGGTGCACTTCTTAAATATGAGACAATTGTCTGAGAGTTTTCATGGCTTATAAGATATAATGGGATCAATTAGAAGAGTTAAGTGATGTACAAGACTGTGATTTCCAGGAATGATTAAACTGAAGGACGAATTGGCGAACTCGAGGGTTGAGATACTGCGCGAGAATCGGTTCCAGAAACCGCTGGAAATCGCAGACAGGCATTGGAATGACTACCACAAGCCTATACTCGAGGTCATAGGCTTCGCGCGCCAGAGCCGGGCCGTTGAGCGACCCATGGATGCGGACATCGAGATAATCGACATCATTGGTGCCGAACGCGCCAAACAGATATACCCGGATCTGTTGGCTAATGCGCCCAAACATAAGAGTACACCCATTGGGGGCCCGTCTACTAGTTATTGGCGTCCGGGAGCCAGTCATTCAAATGTGGACCTAAGACACGAGTTGAGGGAACGGGAGGGGAATGTGTCGCACAGCGGGGACCAGAAGAAAGTGGACGAACAGCTGAGAATCACTGGCCTTAAGACGAGTCTAATGTTGGCCGAGGAAAAGGCGCAGACGTTTGATCGCAAGAACCGAGAGTTGGAGTCGGAGCTGAAGAAGGTTTACCAGCATTTGCTGAAAGTGAACGCCGAGAAGAAGCAGTTGCTCCGAAAGTGCGATACTCTGGAGGCGCAGTTGGACCGAGCGTTTGGTCAGTCGTCAGTGGCGTCCACTTCGGTGGCGCCGAAGCGTAAGATAGTACCGAAGCGCCAGTTCGTCGACTTTCCGGACCAGAGATACCTTGCGGTTAAATCGCGGAAACTGAAGGACTATGTGGTGACCAAAACGCGGCAAAAGTATCGCCGAATCGCCAGAATTGGTAGAAAACGTGTGGCCTATGGCGGTGCCCAGTCGTCAATGGCGTCCACTTCGGCGCCAAAGCGTGCGTTGAATGTCGAGAGATATCCGGCGGACAGACCACCGAAGCTGAGGGGCTATGGGTTCACTAATTACAACCGAAACGGAGCTAATTATGAGCGAAGGCCGGAGCCACAGGAGCCTTACGAAGACGATGGTCTCTACGAGACAGGGAACTATAGGGCACTCTATATGGAAGAGTTTGACAGAATTCAATGAGTATCTCATTCCCTGATACTTCAAGACTTGATTTATTTGGTGATGCGTTGAATGAAAATGAATTATTTGAACACAAATTTGAATTTAATTTTTATTTAACCACTTTGATCTCATTTATAATATGGTAGTTATAAATTATAATTGAATAATAATAACTTATAATTAGTATATTTTTATGTTACCAATAATTTTTTTCTAATGATTGGTCTGTCTCTACATATGTTTTGTACTATCTTTGATGTGTTTGGTGTTTAACTGGTGAGTGGTGTGTCTTATGATGAGTTGTGGATATTGTGTTGAATGGTGTGAGAGATTAGCCATTATTTCATGTGTCTGTTATTTGGTTTGAATGCTTGTGTCTTATGTTTTATCACTCCATTTGATTCAATAATTAATTGATTCATACGTTTTGCTGATCACAACTACAGTGTACTCGCTATAGTGTACTATTTTATACACATAAATTTATTATTTAAGTAAATTATAGATTATTGATTATACCGATTATTTTATCATCATTTTCAATAAATACCAGACATTTGTAAACCCGAAAATTGTTAAGTTTACCGCATTTTATGGGATTAATTGGATGTGTTTAAGTGATGTCCCGAATTGTGCCATTGATTTCCAGGAATGATTAAACTGAAGGACGAATTGGCGAACTCGAGGGTTGAGATACTGTGCGAGAATCGGTTCCGGCAGCCGATGGACATCGCGGAGATGCACTGGAATGACTACCACAAGCCTATACTGGAACTGATTGGGTTCGCGCACCCGAACCGGGCTATTGATAGTGAAGAGCGACCCATGGATATGGACATCGAGATAATCGACATCATAGGTCCCGAACGCGCCAAACAGCTATACCCGGATCTGTTGGGCGACGCGCCTAAGCATAAGAGCACTCCGATCGCCGACCCGTCGA